AACGTAGTGACCCAAGTGGCCAGAGACCTTTGGCCCCTGCCCTCATACAGTACATGCAAGCAGACCCTCTGAACCCTGCCTCGTCTACCTTTTCCTCAAACCCAGGCAACACAGAGTAGGAACAATTCCAACCACTGGGGAGTAGAACAAGGAATTAAGCTTGTTTTGGAACTCAGTGTCATGGCATTGAGACCCCAAACAAGGGGAGAACACAATAGTCCCTACCCCCTGGCAGGTACCTGTGGATGGAGCCTCTGGACCCACCCTGGTGCCAGATGGAGACCTGCAGCCCAAGACAGAATGACTTGTATTCTGGCTGATGTCAACTGCGCTGGCTGCTACGGTCTCAGGCCACAAATACGCCATGCCAGCAGGCAGGGCATAACAGTATGAGCCTTGGCCGTGCCCTCGTACTGCCCTGGTCTGTGTGGCCTATGGGTTCCAGGTGTGATCTAGAATTGCAGTGTTGGTTATCATGGGAGTGTCCATTTCATCTTTCCCCTAACTGTAGGCAGCACAAAAGAGGGAGGGAGGGAGGGTGGAAGGGTGAGAGAGAGAGAGAGAATGACTAAGTTGTGCTGAGGAACCTGAGGCTTGTTCCTCCAAGGTGAGGCTCAGAACTGGGCAGAATCCCATGGTTCCTGACCACAAGCCAGTGACTGTGGACAAGTTGTCAGGGCCCATCCCAGCCCCATTAAGAAACTGGCAGGGACAGACTGTCCTTTGTAGACACTCCTCCAGTACATTCTGAAAAATTCACTAAGTGCAGATTTGGGGAAAAAAATTGAGCGTGTATTGCCCTCTAATGCTGAAACCCTGGCAACAGCAACCATGGACTTGTGACCGACCTGAACCTAGGGCACCACCTATTGCTGAAATAGTGCAGTGACCATAGGCTCAGAGAAAACAAGCAGAATTCTTGGAATTTTAGGTTTTAAAATTTTATTTTATTCACTTTATTCATTTGAAAAGCAAACACACACACACACACACACAGACCCCGAGACAGAGAGGGGTGAGGGAGGGAATCTCCCTTCTGGTTTACTCCCCAAATGCCTTTAACAGCTAGGGCTGGGCCAGGCCAAAGTCACAGTCTCTGGGTCTCCCATATGAGCAGCAAGGACCGAGCTATTTGAACCATCACTTGCTGTCTCCAGGATATGCGTTAGCAGGATGTTGGAATTCAGAGTGAAATATGAGGTAGGAGAGTCCCTAAACAGCATCTTACCCACTATGTCAAATGCCTGTGCCCAAGTTTTTGTTTCTATAATTTATTTATTCTAACGTTGCAAAAAATATTCTAATGAACTTCCTTGTACATGTGTCCTGGTAGTAAAACACAAGAGTTTCTCTAATGTGTAAATGTGGAATTACTGGATTGCAGGCTCTGCACAATTTTGCTAAATAATCATATTTTTTTCTAAATTTCATTATTCAGTTGCATACTTGCTAGTGGTATAAATTCCCTTCTGATCAACCTCTTTGCAAATACTGAATATTACTATCCTTTTCCATCTTGGGTAATTTGGGTCTAAAATAGTATCTCAATGTGGTTTTAATTTAGATACATTCATGTGCCCTTTATATTTCCTTGTTGTATGAAATGTTTCCAGTATATATTTTTTGCCCATTTTTTCTCTTGGGTCCTTTGTCTTTTTCTTCTTGATATTTAGGAAAATATAGATTCTGGATAAATTTTCCACTGGATAGATATATTGCTTTTTTTTTCTTCTGGCAAAGGACTTTATTGTTAAGATGTGACCACAACCCAGCAATTCTTTCTATTTTGATTAGCTTTCTCTGTCTCTTCTTAGCTTTCTGCAGTGGGTACAGTTTGGGATATCTTCTAAGTAAACAAACAGCTCCCATACTGTAGGATATACAATATGCTATTTGAGTGTGACTACTATTTAACTAAACAATTAAGGATAGATATATTTCAAATATATTCAATAGCTCTGTGGCTTACTTACTAAACTCATCATTTTATAAACAGATAAATAAAATTTAATATAGTGTACTTTATCAATAACTATTTTTATATCAGCAATTTCCACATTATTTATATTAATTTGATATGCACCTGTATTTCCTTCTTTAATATTTAAAGTTTCATCTTTCCAGAATTTTTACTTCATTTTTTAAAAGATATTATTTATTTGTTTGTTTGAAAAACAGAGTTACAGAGAGAAAAAGAGTTCTTCCATTCACTGTTTCACTCCTCAATTGACTGCAATGGCTAGGGTTGGGCCAGGCTGAAGCCAGGAGCCTGGAAATTCATCCAGGTCTCCCGTGTGGGTTGACTGTCTTCTGCTGCTTTTCCAAGTGCATTAGCAGGGATCTGGATCAGAAATGGAGCAACCAGGACTCTAACAGGTGCCCATATGGGGTGAAGGCATTGCAGGCAGTAGCTTAATCTGCTATGCCACAACACTGATGCCTTTCCTGAATTTTTAAATAATTTGTAATTTTTTTTTCTGTATAACATGCTATTAGGATTTTCAAGAACCTTGGAGAGGCTGAGATGTTATGCTGCTTACAAACTCACAAGTTATGCTGCCACGGTTTCATGGTTTCTAGCAGAAGTACCCAAGATTCTTGGGTCAGACATAAGGTTCTTTTATTTTTGTTGTTTTAGATACCGGAGTTTTTATTATTGACAGCAGTGGCAGCAATTAGAGCATCAGTTACTTGGTGATGCAGAGAAGGTCAGGTGACTACTGAACTCACAGTGGGTTGCTTTATAGAAGAAGAACCTTGCGCCTAGGGGCCCCACATCTTTTCTAATAGACAGTAAGCATGCCTGAGCTTAGACACTTTCTGTTTGCTACAGTAACGAGTAATCAAGCCAGTCCTTTGCTCCAGAGGAAATACTCTTAGCCTTCAAGCCTATCTGCTATGCAGGCTTGAGAAGATAGGCTGGACCCAAGGCAGCCAGTGCTGCTGTTTGCAAGACAGACAGAAGAGCAAGAGGCCCACAGGGAATTGTCTCCCAATAGGAATTGGCTCTTTTCTGACCACATGAGTGACCAGTTGTCTCAGCATCAGTTAATCCATGGTTTCTCCTCTTGCCAGAGGCCTGCAAAGCCAGCTTAACATCATCAGGTTTCCATGTATTTATATGCTGGTTCCTGGACTCTCTATTATATTAATCGGGAGTCTATCTTTGCATAAACCTCACATATCTTTACTTATTACATGTTTAATAGATCATGAATTTTGTTAGAGAAATTTCATCCCGCTCCCACCTTGCTCTGCTTCAGGAAGATCTTACATATTCTTGTCCTTTCTTTTTTTCAATTAAAAAATCTGTACAGGAAGTTCTAATGTAATATCTTTCTATTCTTGGAACTTAGAGTTTCATTCTGGGATTATTTTTGCTTCTTCCTAAAGTTTGTTTAAAACTCCCTCTGGAAAGTTTTGCTCCTAACTTCCCATCACAGAGAGATCTCAGCTTTGATTCTTGTGTTCTGAATGCTGTCCTTTAAAAATGAACATTCTCGCCTCCGGATATCAGCAGATGGCCCTGGGACAAACAGCAGCTTCAGCTCATTTACTTCTCCCCATGTTTCCTTCCACATTGTTGTCAGCTTCTCAGAATGTTTTTTTTTTTTTTTTTTGGCAGTTCACCTATGCTTTGTATATTTCATCTACATTTTTAGGAGTTCTGCATTGCGAGGGGTTTTCAGGATATTTAACCAATCATATTACCAGAAAGAGAGACTTGTGTTGATACTGGTTTCATTTATTTATTTATTTTTGACAGGCAGAGTGGACAGTGAGAGAGAGAGACAGAGAGAAAGGTCTTCCTTTGCCGTTGGTTCACCCTCCAATGGCCGCCACGGCCAGCGCACTGCGGCCGGCGCACTGCGCTGATCCGATGGCAGGAGCCAGGTACTTCTCCTGGTCTCCCATGGGGTGCAGGGCCCAAGCACTTGGGCCATCCTCCACTGCACTCCCTGGCCACAGCAGAGAGCTGGCCTAGAAGAGGGGCAACTGGGACAGAATCTGGCGCCCCGACCAGGACTAGAACCTGGTGTGCCGGCGCCACAAGGCAGAGGATTAGCCTAGTGAGCCGCGGCGCCGGCCCAGATACTGGTTTTAAAATAGCTTAACCTCACAGAAATTGTGGCTTGGACTCCACATTCAACAAAGTGCATTTAATTGAACAGAATAAGGTTTCAGCTGGATGTCTCTGATGCTACCACATTCTTATCAAATAACCCAGCATCTAATTTGGCATTGCCACCGGTATTTCTTCTTTGTCTTAAAACTTAACACAATTTGAAATATTTTGAGCATACAGAAAATAATATAATTAAGATCTTTGGACCTTGAACTAATATGAAACAGAAATTAATATAGTGCCCAATTTTCTTGACTTGGTTTTTTGTACATAAAGCAATGAATGTTATAGTTTTGTATTTCTTAAAATTTGCACTAATATAGCTTGCTCTTTATGTACTTGTTTTATTCCCGCCACTCACCATATATTTGAAAAATTTATCAATACTGATACTCTGAACTATAATCCAATTATTCCCAGTTCCATATAGAATCCTTTTACAAGTTATTTTACTTAATAGTACCTTTATCTACATGAACATCCTTGTGTATATCCTTAAGTTTATGGATGAGCTTTTTTTTTTTATCTGAAAGTGCTCTATAATAGGGTGCATTTCACTTTAACTAATTAGGTATATCCAGTTCAGTTTCTTATACCTAATCTTCGTGATTATGATGAAATCCTAAAAGGTAGAACATTATTTAGATATTTGACATTGTTATTGATTGTTGACCACTACAGAAGATATGGCATTTTAACCTTTCTTATTTAACGTTTGTTACTTGTGAAAAGTACATAGTACTGGTCTGGATAAGGATTGTGCTGAATATATGTCATATGTGACATCTTGTATAATTCAAATGAGGTTAAAATCTCTACTATTAAATAATGAAAAATCAGTGATTTGGAATTCATGCTTCATTTTTTTCTGCAGGTATTTATGAGCCTCCATTTCTTATACTACTGCAGTGAACCAACCTTGGATGTGAAACTTGCCTTTTGTCAGGTGTGTGTTCCTTACAGGTAAAACAAGGTACAGTATATTCCCTTGTATTTCCATTTTGCTGTTCTCTTTTGCATATGTTCCACAACAAAGTATTTATGTGATATTAAAAGTGGCTTAGGCAGTAGCAATTCTTTTTTCTTTACTAATTCATGTAAGTTAGAAAGAAATGAACACAGTTATCTTTGAATGATTTTATAGTATTCCCTGTGTAAAGGGATTACGGAGTAGATTTCACTTATAATTTAGGTTTTTAGTATGATGTTTTCAAAGCCTTGAAATGGAACTTTAGGCCGGCACCGCGGCTCAATAGGCTAATCCTCTGCCTTGTGGCGCCGGCACATCGGGTTCTAGTCCCGGTCGGGGCGCCGGATTCTGTCCCGGTTGTCTCTCTTCCAGGCCGACTCTCTGCTGTGGCCAGGGAGTGCAGTGGAGGATGGCCCAAGTGCTTGGGCCCTGCACCCCATGGGAGACCAGGATAAGTACCTGGCTCCTGCCATCAAATCAGCCTGGTGCGCTGGCCGCGGTGGCCATTGGAGGGTGAACCAACGGCAAAAGGAAGACCTTTCTCACCTGTCTCTCTCTCTCACTGACCACTCTGCCTGTCAAAAAAAAAAAAAAAAAAAAAAAAAAAAAAGAAAAAGAAAGAAAGAAAGAAAGAAAGAAAGAAAGGGAACTTTAATCGTCAAAATAGCTGAAGTCTGTATTATCATTTCTCATCCCAAGGAATGAGGAACGCAAATGGAGTATCTCCAATACCCACCTATAATAACATACAAGTGGTGTTCAAGTGTTCTGATGTGTCGGGCTAACCAGTAGTTAGTAAAAAGGCTGGACACAATAATGACAAATAGAACCTATTTACTTTAAGGCTGCAATGGATGGTTGCCAGATAAAAGCCTGTCCCCTACAAACACTATTCTTAAGGAAGGGACTGCGTAGGGCCCAAACTGCAGGTGGTCTAGAGAAGCCCTCACTTAAACTTGTCGTGGTATAATCGATAGTGCTCCTTTTTACTCTTGAAAATTATTTCAGTTGGGACAATAAATTATATGATAGCCATGTTTCTATTCCAAGTAGAGAGTTTCACTTCAGTTTTTCTGTGGTGATTATCATTGTACCTTCTCACTGAGCTATGTTGTAAAAAGAATGGCACACATTCATTTAAACCTGTTTTTAAAAATTATTCTGCTGCTTCCATTATTTTAATGCATTCTTTCCAGATTCAAGAATTAATAGATATTTGTTAGAGAAAATATAGAAAAGGGGTGGGGGGTCACTGTTGTGGCATAATGGATAAAGCTGCTGCCTGCAGTGCCGGCATCCCATATGAACATAGGTTTGAGTCCTGGCTGCTCCACTTCTGATCCAGCTCCCTGATAATAACCCTGGGAAAGCAGTGAAAGATGGCCTAGGTCCTTGGGCCCTTGAACCCATGTGTGAGACCTGGAAGAGGCTCCTTGTGGGGAGCAGCTCGGACTAGACTGTTACTGGAATTAAGACTTATTCTATGCATCTGCTCTCCCACAATATGGCGCTGGGAGAGAAGTAAACAGCTTCCGCACAGCTGCCTCCAGTTCAACCAATTAACTGTAGGACTTGCTCCTGATTGGAGGAGAGCAGCGTACTCGGCGTGTGGGCAGCCGAGTTGGGATTGGCGGAGGAGGACTATAAAGGAGGAGAGAGACGGCATGCACCAGGAACATCTATGGGGAACATCTAGCTGAAGGAACACCCGTGCAGCCCCCGAGAGAGCCGGCCGGCGGTGTGCCGCTCCCCTGCGGAAGTGGGGAATGCGGCCAGGGGGAACTGCCCTTCCACGGAGGTGGAAGGGATAGTAGCCAACCCGGGAAGAACCAGCAGCAAACCCGGGGAGGGCCGAGCAGACGAGAGAACAGCGCAGGGTCTTGTGTTGCTCCTCCACGAAGAGGGGGAGCGACAGCTCCTAGCTTCTGTCTTCTGTCTTCTGTCTGACCCTGTCCTGGCAGTTGCAGCCATTTGGGGAGTGAACCAGTGAATGGAAGATTTCTCTCTCTGTCTCTCCCTCTGTCCCTGTATCTCTACCTTTGGATAAATAAATAAATCTTAAGGGGGGTGGGGTGAGGTGGAGCTCATCTCTATGGAGCAGGGATATGGATTTTTCTACTTTTCTCTTCTCTTTGGGAAATGCACTTGTATCCCTAAGATCCCCCACCTCCCTGCACCTGGAGAAAAGCTGCACGCATCCTCTGTCCTGTGTGGGAGCCAGGCCATCAGTGGTCTGTGCATGTTCCGCCTGAGACACAGTCAGGAGGGCTGGGGTTTATGCCTGTGCCAGTGATACCAAGACACATGTCATGCAAAAAATAAAATCTAGAAAAGTATATAGGAAAACAAAACATTGTCTTTGCATCTACACTGTGTTTTCATATCATCTACTGTCCCTAAGAGTCATTAGGGCTCCTCTGTAAAAATAAAATGTGGTACCTGCTAATGAGTAGCTTTTAGTGATTTGCCTCACACCCTCGACCTCTGAATGTTGCAGTGCCTGAAGTCTAGGGCCTTTAGACAACTTCTCTTTGACAAGAATGCCAGATCTGGGCAGCTTTGCTTTGAAATTCCAGGTCTTCCTCTTGTCCTCTTTTTTTAAAAAGATCTATTTATCTATATTATCTATCTATCTATCTATCTATCTAAATGGCAGATAGAAATACAACAGTGAGAGGGAGAAGGGAGGGGGAAGGATGGGGCAATCTATCTTTCATTTACTTTTCCTTCCCCAAATGGACATCTGGGTCTCACAGCTGGGCAGCAGGGAAGCAGGCACTTGGGCCACCATTTCTTGCTCTCCCAGGGAGCTGGATAGGAAGTAGAGCAGCTGGGACTTGAGCCAGCATGCTGATATGGGATGCCATAGTCAAAAGTGGTAGCTTAGCCAGCGTTGTCATAACATGGGCCCCTGGGGTCTACCTCTTAATAGCCATTAGCTTGTGACGTTGGCCAACTTAATCTATTTTGTGTAACCTTTCCTTATTTATAAAAGGAAAAATAATAGTACCTACCTCATAGAAATGTTATGATAATTTAATGATTTTATATTTGAACATTGCTGGAACATGTATTTGCTAAATAGGTAACTAAATATTAAATAAATTTAAATTTACTCTACTGGGGTTCCCATTGAGTTCTCTACTTTAAATCTTATCAGCATCTTAATACTCACATGGTTTTCTCTCCATCCCAAATTTCTCTGTGAAATGGGAATCATATAACTAAACACCCATTATATATCTCCACATAGATGTCAAATATATATCAAACTGTATACATCCTAAACCCACCCGATCTTTCCTACAGAATTGTTCTTCTCATTTTCTGTTCCAATTCAGTAAATGCTAATTACATCCTTTCAGTTAAAACAAAATTCTTGGAAACGTCTCGTGGACCATACCTCCTATTTAACATGTCAGCACATTCTATTCACTGTTCATTCAAAACAAACCTGGAGTCTCATAACTTCTCATCATTCTCTCTACTACCAATTGATCCAAGATACCGTGATCACTTGACTGGATTATAATAAGAGTGTCTGCCTTTGCCTGCTGACAGGTGGTTTGATCTCAACACATCTGCAGGAGTGACCTTGGAAAAATAGAGGTGAGACCTCGTCACTCCTTGATGAGAACAAGCAAACACAAAACTCCAGAAACACCTTTTAATGCTTTCCTGTTTCAGTTGGTATAAACCATAATAAGTGTCGAATCCTTCGTCATTTAACCTCATAGAAGCCCCTCCTCTGAAATACTCCTCCTCTGCTATCCACATGGCCCACTCCTTCACCATCTTCAGGGCCTTGCTTAGATGTTGCTTCCCTAGGAAATCTTTCCCGACTATTCTACTTAAAATAGCTCCTTCCTGCCCTCCTTCCTATTCAACTTCTGAGCCTTTTTTTTTTCTCTCACAGCGCTTGTCAGTTCCCAACGTAAAATATATATTGTAGTTTGCTGCGTTACTTTCTCTCTGCTAGAATGCATCTTGAGCAGGAGTTTCTTCCACTGTCTGGCTGTAGCTAGCCCACACAGGCTCCTGAGAGTTGAATGCATACGTCTATTTCCAGCTTGAAGTTCAGTGTCAGGTTGATAATTGGAAATCTGTCAGGAAAGGAGTATTTACATTATGGAAATGAGAAAATTCTACAAATCATTCCCTTCCCAGCACAATGTTGTAATGAACTTCATGTCTAGCTCAGTGCTGTGCTACAGAACTCATGATGATAAGTGATATAAGGTTATGCTATCATCAAATATTTGTTTAATGATTGAATGACATATCTTTTGTTTATATAATCAGTCCAACTTTGATCTTGAGCTGGTGGGAAATGAGCAGGCCCGATTTTTTAGTTTGGGTATATGAACCATACCGTTTGCAAGCTGTAGTCTCATATGACTGAGCTATTTCCTTAGCCTCCCCTGTCCTGGCCATTTACTGTGGCGATTTGCACTTAACTCAAAATAAGTTTTGGTGGAAGATAAAATTTCCCGTGTTCTACAGTAAAGTGATGGAACTGCAGTTCACAAAAGCCTATTATATATTATATGACTAACTAGAAAAGAGGTGTTTGAAGGTTTCAGAGCCATCTTATGGAGATGGAAATGTTAAATGCCCTGATTTGATCAGTGTACCTTGTATACTTATGCATGTATTTTAGTACGTTGTGTCCCAGAAATAGGTACTTTTCTGTGTTAATCAAAAGTGTAAAAGAAATATTGAAGGCAATGTAAATATTAATGACCCTGTTTTATCATTATACATTGTATATGTTTATATAATGAAATATGCTGTAGCCCACAAAAACATGCAATAATAAAAATCACATAAAATTTACATATTTCAAATTAAATCTGAATTTCAACAATTATCAATAAAATAATCTGAAAATTTTAGGGTTTTTTTTCCAATCAAAAAAGGATTTGTGTCAGTTGAAGTTATTTCTAAAACAAGATTTCAGAAATTGGGTGTAGATG